GATGAGCTGGGATTGGAAAAACAGTCCACACACACAAAGCACAAGTTCTGGGCATGATGGAACAGAGGACATGTGACCAAAAATAATCCCATAATTCTTACTAATGTTTTTTTGTTAAGCATCTAAAAGGTGGAAATATACTGATATTTACTTATGGGATGATAATTTATGCTCATTGTAATAATACCGTGAGGGAAATATCTAATTACCCTCTTGCCTAAGTAATCACACGGGTAGATGATATAAAATTTTCTTTTTTTTAATATTAACAAGAAACACTGTGTTCTATAATATCTCAAGTTTCTAAAATCACATATTTCTTCTTCATTCACTGACCATAAAATTGTACATTTAATTTGCAATTGAATCCTTTTTTGGAGGGTCTCTCAAAGTCAGGCAAACAGGGTGGGTTTGAATAGAGATGTAGCAAATAACTTGTTTCTTTCTTTTTTTGATTTTTAAAGTTTATTTATTTATTTATTTATTTATTTATTTATTTATTTATTTTTGAGAGAGCCAGAGACAGTGTGAGCAGGGGAGGGGCAGAGAGAAAAGAGAAAGAGAATCCCAAGCAGGCTCCCTGCTGTCAGAGCAGAGCCTGACACAGAGCTTGAACTCATGAAACTGTGAGATCATGATCTGAGCCGAAACTCAGAGACAGACGCTTACCAGACTGAGCCACCCAGGCACCCTGCAAATAATTTTTTTTCTAAATGTTGACCATGTTCCAGAAGACAGATGGTATAACCCCTACCTATGTAATGTCTGGCTAATTGTGTCAGGATGATAATAAATCATTTCTGGATTTTCCATCTAAAGTTTCTTTTTGTTCCTTCCACTCTGCTCTCTCTACCTTTGAGTCACAAAATTTTCTCTCTCCTTCCATCTTCCAGAACCAGGCCAACTAACTGTCACTCATGACAATTACTACCTTCTATCTCCCAGATATGGGAAGAGGCCCATAGTGGCAGGTCTCAACCCACGCTGTCCATCAAAATGCCTTGTAGAAAACTTGGAATGTAGACCTACCCAACGACCATCCTGAAGGTTATGAGTGCCAAAGAGTCTCTCACTTCTAGATAATTCTCATATATAGCCAGGGTTGATAAACACTAACAGAGGAACATAAATTCTAATTTTAGGCATATGTAAAAGTGATAAAGCAATATATGTTTACCTAAGCAATTATACTCGTCTCGTGGAAACTCCTACATACAAAACCAGCATCAAGGAAGTTGGCCTTTGGTATAGGCCTTCTTTAAAATCATGGAGAAGCTACTATTTCCTGGCACGCAGAACTCACTCAGCCTATGTCTGGGAATACCCTTTGTGTTCAGACTTCTTTAATATCATAGAACTGATATTAGAAACAACAAGTACAATTGAGACCATGTTGGGAATATTATACAGTGGGTCAATATTGGTTAAGCAGCATTTGGGGTGTTGGGATGTTATAGCTCTCTAAGAGTTCTTGAAAATCTACCATGCAGATTTGCACAGCTAAACTTCCAGAAGTAGTTAGCTACAATCACATTGCTTAGTACAAGACACCAGCCACATACACCTATGGAGTACTTGAAATAAGGCTAGCCCACGTTAGGATTTGTTGTCAATGTAAAACACACACAGATTTCAAAGACTTCATACCCCCCCAAAAGTGAAGTATCTTTAAATGTTTACATTGATTATTACTTGAAATAATAATATTTGTAGATATTTGTAGCTATTGTTTTAAATAAAATGTATTATTAAAATTAGTTCACTAGTTTCTTTTTATTAATGTGAACTTACATTAGAAAATGTAAGGTTGTGGGGCGCCTGGGTGGCGCAGTCGGTTAAGCGTCCGA